GAAGGTGTGTGAAGGGTGTGTGAAGGTGTGTGAAGGTGTGTGTGTGAAGGTGTGTGAAGGTGTGTGAAGATGTGTGTGAAGGGTGTGTGAAGGGTGTGTGAAGGTGTGTGTGAAGGTGTGTGAAGGTGTGTGTGAAAGTGTGTGTGAAGGTGTGTGTGAAGGTGTGTGTGAAGGTGTGTGTGTGAAGGTGTGTGAAGGTGTGTGTGAAGGTGTGTGTGTGAAGGTGTGTGTGATGGTGTGTGTGAAGGTGTGTGAAGGTGTATGAAGGTGTGTGAAGGTGTGTGAAGGTGTATGTATGAAGGTGTGTGAAGGTGTGTGTGAAGGTGTGTGAAGGTGTGTGAAGGTGTGTGAAGGTGTGTGAAGGTGTGTGAAGGTGTGTGAAGGTGTGTGTGAAGGTGTGTGAAGGTGTGTGTGAAGGTGTGTGAAGGTGTGTGAAGGTGTGTGAAGGTGTGTGTGAAGGTGTGTGAAGGTGTTCTGACGCCCTCTGGCCTTACACCTCTGAGATGGGTTTGTGAGATGGTTGTAGTATATCTGTGAAAGTGTAAAGTCAGCTGATGTTTAGAGAGCAGTTAGTGCTTCATGAGGTCAGTGTGTCGAATAAAGAGAAGTCCAGTCTTTCTGCTGCTTTCATACGCCTCAGAAACGAAACTGTGGAAAGAGAATTATTGTGTAAATAAATGTCCTTTTAAACTGAGCTGATGAAGCAGATTCACTTTCCCAATTCATTCCTTCTGTAAAGAATGCACATGAAGCTGATTCTGCCATGCTATCTTAGCTAGCTGTGGCAAAGGTTGTGCCTCTTTTAATCTAAACGTGAATTATTATTTAACATTTAACCAGAGCTGTTAAGTAACTAGGTAGATTTACAAAAGTACTGTACTTAAAGGGCCCATGTCATGGCCATTTCCACTGATCATAATTACATTGTTGAGGTATACTAAAATAGATTTATACTGTGCAATGTTCCAAACTCACATTGGTTTCGCATACAGCATCTCTGTCAAGCATGTGTATTCAGCAGTATTCACTCTCTCCACTAAACGACTCGTTGGAGCTCTTGTCCCCCCCTCCCTGTGAGCCTAGTGTGCTCCGATTGGTCAGCTCGGCCACTCTGTTCTGATTAGTCAACCACCAGAGAGGCTCCGCCCATGTCTAACAGTGCTTTTTCCGGCTGCTCTCAGCGGAACATCAGTCTTATAATGGCGTCGGTACAGCCGTATATTTTATACGCTAACTAACCGAACTGTACCTTCAACTGTTGTTATAGAAGAGTGTGACGGCCCCAGGGCCTTTGTCTTACGATGGGGTGGAGCTGAAGAGGCTAATCAGCGCGATCACGGACACCTGGCCGGAGCCGAGGTGCTAGCCAGCTGCCCGGAGTCAAACGGCGGCCCGTCTCTCCCTCCAAGCAGCTCAGCAATCCTCTCCCCTATCTCTGCATTTACCACAATAAATGTGCCCGTGGTTTTGTAAACTCGTGTATGTCTCCTTGCCTTTCCGTTGTGGCCTACGAGCCGGTCATAACAAAGAGTAAGTTATTTTTACCTGTTATAAACTACTACTGTTTGATGAGAAATCAAATCATGGTTTGCTATATATGAATGATATGTTATAGGAGCAAATAATTCAGGGAAGAAAGGATAGGCCTACTAAGTATTTCCATCAAACTTTATTTTTAGAAATGTACAAAATGAACATAAATATACATATATACACGGTATATCATCCATTCCTCCCCGTTGTCGGCATCTTGCTTATAGCAGCCGGGGCTTTTTAGGACGAGGCCTCAGTGTGGTAGTCCCGTCCCCGTCATGTATTGTCCGGCAGGATCTGGCTGGACGAAATAAAATGCAAATCACAAAATATTAGAGAAACTTAGTTGTTTTAGATTCGTTAGTAGTAGTTGTGGTAGGAGTGTGGATCTATCTAATCCATATATCTAATCAACACAGTAAGCTTGCCAGCTAATATGCTAACCTAGCTTTGTTTACCTTGGTAGCTAACGTTAGCTCGGAGGAACGGCAACTATAATGCAGTGTAATAAAACTACTATGAACAAAAGCTAGTGGTTCATATTAGGCTAGCAATAACGTGTTTATAATTGCAATCTTATACGGGTAGTCTGCTACGTTCGGTCATACATTGTAACGGTCATGTTTTTGCGCTAGCATGTATAGCTAGCCTCGTTAGCTAAACATGCAGTATGTACATGTACTGTCACAATGCACGGCAAATCACCCGGAGTATACTGTACGAGCTGGGCTTGTTTAGTGTAATAAAACCACTATGAACAAAAGCTAGTGATTCATATTAGGCTAGCAAGAACGTGTTTTCCAGAGCAAACCCATGTAGCTCCGTTGGTTAGCTCGGTAGCATACACCCTACGCCAGCTATAATGTAATTACGTTTCGCGACTGACCGTACGGTAAATCACCCGGAGTATACTGTCTATGAGTATTTCGTGTGTGATTGCAGACATTCTCCTGCTATGAGATACATGTATGTAAGGCCATCTGCTGATATTAGAGTTGATATATGGAAACGTTAGCACAGTTAGCACTGTGTCAATAGCTTAGCAGTCCGACACAGTTTACACATTTAAACAGTCTTGTTTGATAAATACACAAATAACAATGCAAACTTACAGGTTGTGTACCCGAATCTTCCCCTGCTCCAAACGGTCCAAACAAGCTGTGCATATCCGGCCTCAAACTGGGCAATGTTTTGGAAGCTTTCGTCTGTGAAATGCCGGTTCTTCGAACCTCTGAAGGAACAGTGTTAAAAATAAATTTCAACCACTGACTTCGTGGTGGTTCTTCCGTCGGTAGGACAAACAGCTCAGATTTCTCCTAACATTTCAGGAAACAGGTCCTTGGCAGTGGCATGACTGGATCGATTGTGAACTGAACCAGAGCTTCCAACAGTAAATGTTAGGCTGGCAGAGGGTGCGGCCAGCGCCGCTGGGTGTGGCCATAGCTCTTCGGGATTGGTCCATTTCGTTCCGGGTACGGCATGACATCATGCCGTACCCGGAACTAAATGGAAGACTCAAATGGGCAGTGACGTATCTCCAACGAGGCGTTTTGGGCAGGTATTTTCTGTGTTAGAGTTTTACTCGCTACAGGGTGTACTTTGAGGGTTTTGACTCTGCACACCGTTTACATGCATAAAAACCTTCATAACACACAAGGGGACGGGTAATAACCGGAAAAGCATGACATGGGAGCTTTAAATACAATTTAAATTAAGATAAGATAAGATGGAACTCTTTTTATCCCCTTGGGGAAATTCAGGCGTTAATTACTTGTACTTTTACTGTAACAGAGTATTCCTACACTCTGGTACTTCTACTTTTACTCAAGTACAAGATCTGAGTACTTCTACTTTTACTCAAGTACAAGATCTGAATACTTCTACTTTTACCCAAGTACACAATCTGAGTACTTCTCTGTTTGTTTACAGACATGTTTTCAGGAGGAAACTGAGATGGTTTCTCAGATATCAGACGTCTGTCCTCTCAGAGAAACTACAGTCCGAGTACTTCTTCTTATATTCCACTAGTACTTCTACTGTACCAGGGTATGTGTACTCAGTGGTATTACTACGCAAACTGAAGTATAATTAAGAGTACCTTTTTCTTTTCTATAAATGTAGCCCGAGGTCACACCCTGACTTTCTTTTTCAATGTCAAACTACTTCCTGTCTGCTGTTCATTTCCCCTCAGAGAAAGAAAATTACTTCATTCATCAGCGTTGTTATTACAGTGTGTGTGTGTGTGTGGTGTGTGTGTGTGTGTGTGTGTGTGTGTGTGTGTGTGTGTGTGTGTGTGTGTGTGTGTGTGTTGCATTCCTGCAACCTGGAGTCATCGGTCAGTCAGCTGGTAAACACATACACACTTCACAAAAGAGCTGACACAATACTCAGTTACTCTGCATTCAACACACACACACACACACACACACACACACACACACACACACACACACACACACACACACACACACACACACACACACACACACACACACACACACACACACACACACACACACACACACACACACACACACACACACACACACACACACACACACGATATATTGTGGAGAAGCTGAGATGTGCATTAGAGAAACGTCAGGTATTGATTTCCTGCAGGAAGTCACTCAGGAAATATTATGAATCTAATTATTAATTATTGACGAGACGCCTCAACGGGAAGCTGTTCTTAAAAGCTCTTTAAAGAGTTATATCAGTATGTAGTGTCTCTACTTTAAAGAGTCCTCTCCTGCTGATGTTCAGGTGTATATCAGTATGTAGTGTCTCTACTTTAAAGAGTCCTCTCCTGCTGATGTTCAGGTGTATATCAGTATGTAGTGTCTCTACTTTAAAGAGTCCTCTCCTGCTGATGTTCAGGTGTATATCAGTATGTAGTGTCTCTACTTTAAAGAGTCCTCTCCTGCTGATGTTCAGGTGTATATCAGTATGTAGTGTCTCTACTTTAAAGAGTCCTCTCCTGCTGATGTTCAGGTGTATATCAGTATGTAGTGTCTCTACTTTAAAGAGTCCTCTCCTGGTGTTTATCAGTATGTTTTGCCCTTAGCCTATAATGTACAATGTGTTTGAGCGCTAGCCAATAGGAACGTGAGTGTTCCATAGTGATGTCACTGTGTTCCAGAAGTAAACAACATCATGATTGATCGTATTTTGTATGAATATTAAATGAGCCACAAAAAAAGTATACACACACATTTGATGAAAAACGCTTGTCATCCAATAATATGACATCCCCACTATTACTTGCAAAACAAACAAACAACCAAAAACCTACAAAATAAACAAAAACAAACAAAAAACTAACTAAAAACCAGTTCCCCCACCTACTCTTTCTTGTGCCGACTTCCCACCGCACCTGAACGCAGCACAGCCTCAGTGTGTGTGTGCGTATGCGTGTGCGTGCGTGCGTGCGTGCGTGCGTGTGTGTGTGTGTGTGTGCAGCAGAGTGTGTGTGTATCACTCGCTCCGAGCTGCAGAGGGAGGCGGTGTTTCTCTGACTTTCAGCCGGCTTTGGAGCTCCACTCTCCCGGGAACTTCTCTCCTCAGTGTCCGCCTCTCGAACACTTTTCCCCGGCTTCTGCTCAGACTTTGTCCCGCTGATCCTCCGCCATGGCTCCCCGCTGTGAGTACACACACCGCTGCTGATGGAGGGTTACATTACTCTTTGATTCATGGAACAACAAAGTGGGAGGAATTAATTTTGTGGAGAAAATGACGAAGGGTTTTCACGTTTTTATAAAGGAAGCTGCTCGAAGAAAAACTCTTATTCTCGAGTTTAAAAGTCTAATAAAAAATCGAGAAAATGTCCTCAAGGTGACTCGTTCAAATGTCTGTGTAACAAACAGAAAGAGACACTTCAATATCAGGGATACAAGTTATAAAAGCTTCAGATGTGAGAATTGACTTTATTCTGTCATTAATGCTGGAAAACTAACTTTGAGATAAATATCTGCACAATCACGTTTTAATAAAGTAGATTATATTCTTAAGAAGAAGTTTAAAAATATATTAATTAGTGAAAATGTCCTCTTCATGAATCTCAAGGTGACTCGTTCAAATGTCTGTATTAAAAAGCTGCAGATTTTAATACATGTTTTAGGTATAAATGACACTTTTTTTCATTTTTGCTTGAAAAGTCACTTTGAAGATGAAATATATAAATCACAAATTCTTGTAAAAGAGACTTTATTATGGATTTAAAATGTAGATAAAATCCTCTTTATGATTCTCAAGGTGACTCGTTCAGATGTCTGTCTAAAAACAGGAATATAATAGAAGTCAGAGTTATAAAAGCTGCTTAAAGAGGTACAAATTAAACCTTTTTAATCTGTCATTTTAGCTGAAAAACTAATTTAAGTTTTAAGATAAATACCTGCAAAAACATGTTTTAAAAAATCTGATTATATTCTTGAGTAGAAGTTTAAAAAGTGGATTAATTAGTGAAAATGTCCTCTTTATGAAGCTCAAGGTGACAGGTTCAAATGTCTGTATTAAAAACGGAAAGAAATACTTAAACACAATTGCAATTTTACTTGAAAATTAACTCCTATTTGAATACCTGTTATAGGTTAATCTTATAGTAGAATATAAGATACATTATCTGGATTAAAAGTGTGTAAATAACTCTATAGAATATATATATAAAGTGTGATTTGATAAAAAAAACAGTTTGATAAAGTTTTTGTGACTTTGACTTGTCAGTGAAGTCGGTGCGTTTGAGGAATGCAGGAAATGTGATGATTAACTGGTTCTGGGTGGAGAGTCTTGTGTAAGGAGCTCTTTACATCTCAAATAAAGAAGATGTATGTAATCCCAGATATCTGTGAGGGAGCCAGACGTTAAGGGTTTTTATTGATCATTAATAACACTTTTAGTTTTGAGGAGCACTTCAATCAGATTTATCCTCTTTTTTACGCTTTTATTGACATAAAAAATGCAGTATAATAGTATTGTGGCACAAAACAAACACATATATGTTATTCCATATGATTAGCAACTTAAAGGTCTCATCATATGCTTTTCCGGTTATTACCCGTCCCCTTGTGTTATGAAGGTTTTTGTAAACGGTCTGCAGAGTCACAAACCCTCAAAGTACACCCTGTAGCGAGTCAAACTCCAAAGGCCCCAACACACCAGGCCGTATTCGGCCGTCTTGCGTTGTCTGGCGACAACGCGTTCCTTGTCGCCCAAAGTCAATTTGGTGTGTCCCGAACCCTCGGCCGTGACACGCCTTATTTGGCCTTTCACGGTCGACACCCGGCCAATCGGCCAAAATACGGCCACAAGCTATCGGGCCAAGAAACCACTCTGATCAGCTGTTCAGCTAGCAAATGAGAAGCGAAACGGAAGTGAGGGACGTAAACAAATGATTAAAAAAGGCACAGGACAGCAGCTAAACACCAGCAGGTGATACTTAAAGACATCAAACATAGCCCTTAAATGTCCTCTCTTACCTCCCACACATAGCAGGGACATCTCTGATATCGGCGGGAGCGTCCCCGGCTGTCCTCTGCTGAGAGCTCCGTGATTTGTTTGGTCAAGTCCGGTTTTTCATCTCATCGTAAATTTAGCAAGAAGTGGCCATTACTACATTGCTGACTCAATAAACTACACACCCGCCAGAACACTGCGATCATCAGATGCAGGTCTATTAACTGTGATTTGATAGTATGTCTGCACTTTATGTGCTCATTTCATCATGCATGTATTTTTATATTCTAAAACATGTTTTCGATGGACGAGAGTGAAAATGGAACGCACACGCTATTTGTTTGTTTATATCAGTCTGTTCTTCTTCTCTGTCTTCCGGTTGTTGCCTCTTTTGAATGACGAATACACACTACCGCCGCCTGCTGGTAAGGAGAGTTATTGCCACTCACGCATGCGCAGTTCGTACGTGCTCGGCTGAAGTCTTTGCGGTGATTTCCAGTGCGACACACGGCCAAGACGCAGGAGAACTCGTCGATGGAACAGTCGATGTCGGTGTCGGCGAGTTCTCTGGTGACTGCCTGGTGTGTCAGGGCCTTAACACAGAGAAGACCTGTCTATGCTGCCCCAGAACGCCTCGTTGGACATTTCTCTTTTTCTTCTTGGGTACAGTGACGTGCCCATACCCAAATGGACCCATTGGTCCAAATGGACCAATCCGTGGAGCAGTTACGTTATGTCCGCGGAGCCGTTACGTTAACACACACACACACACACACACACTCAATCTTTTCTCAGCTGCAGCTCCGCCGATTTCTCCTCCCTGAGACGGCGGGACGCGGCGAGGCTGTGAGTCGGTGTGTGAGCACACACACAAACTCCCAGCCAGGCTGCGGGTGTGTGTTCGGACTGGGTTTCGCTGTGTCTCGCTGTCTCGCAGACGGCCACTGGGCTCACAGGGAGGGGGGGGGCAGGAGCTCCAACAAGCCGTTTAGGACAGAGAGTGAATACACATACTGTACAGAGATGCTGTATGAGAAACCAATATGAGTTTGGAACATTGAACAATATAAATCTATTCTAGTAGACCTCAACAATGGAATTATGATCAGTAGAAATGGCCATGACATGGGACCTTTAAATACATATTTTAAACATTGAATAACTTTATAATTAAGACCTATTTTATGAAAAAATCACGTACATTTTGAAATTTTACCGGAAAATCCTGCAATATCTCAAAAGACGACATCTTCGTATTGATTGGTCAACCGCTTAGAGATGTCCCGCCCCCTAGCCTATCACGCACAATGTGTTAGCCAATAGGAGCGTGAGTGTTCCATAGTGATGTCATTATGTTTCGGAAGTAAACAAAGGAGTCCAATGGAGGCGAAAAAAGGAAAGGGAGAAAAGGGCCTCTTTAAGTGGTGGTGCGTTCACTGACACATTCTCAGGGTTTTTTACATTCTTCACTAAAGTGCATAGCGCTGAGTCGGAGAGTTTCTATGTTTGTTATTCCTCTTCTTCTTCTTCCTCTTCCTCTTCCTCATCCACTACTTAAAATATACATGTTCAATAAATAATACATTAAAAAAACAAAAACTTTAAAATTTAATATTTCACATACATTACTGGATATTTTGATAAATGAACTTCCTGTTGTACGATACATACGTCTGATTGCCTTTGACCTTTGACCCCTCCCCTGTAATGTTGGCGCCCTGCAGTGAGAGTCCCTGAACGCATCACGCTGCTTCACAGCATTCAATCTGACAGATAAAAAGACTCTCATTAAAGAAACTCATTAAAAACAGTCTGTTAGCGAGTATTAAAAACCTCTGGAATGTCCAATTTGACCAATCAGAATTGAGTACTAAGCCGTTTCATAATAAATCTTAACTTCCTAGATTTTGCCTTTCATCTCTACAAATATCACACACACACACACGCACGCACGCACGCACGCACGCACGCACGCACGCACGCACGCACGCACGCACACACACACACACACACACACACACACACACACACACACCTCACCTTCAGACTTGACACCTGTTAAACCTCATTTAGTGTGACCCGTACACAGGAAGCCAGAGTCAGTGTTTTTAGTGAAAACATGTTTTTCAGATACTTTAAGTATAAACATCAGCTCTGTCGTCAGGTAGAATAGTAGTGTTCAGGTGTGTTCAGGTGTGTTCAGGTGTGTTCAGGTGTGTTGTGTTCAGGTGTGTTCAGGTGTGTTGTGTTGAGGTGTGTTGTGTTCAGGTGTGTTCAGTTGTGTTGAGGTGTGTTGTGTTCAGGTGTGTTGTGTTCAGGTGTGTTCAGGTGTGTTCAGGTGTGTTCAGGGGTGTTGTGTTCAGGTGTGTTCAGGGGTGTTGTGTTCAGGTGTGTTCAGGTGTGTGTTCAGGTGTGTTGTGTTCAGGTGTGTTCAGGTGTGTTCAGGGGTGTTCAGGTGTGTTGTGTTCAGGTGTGTTCAGGGGTGTTCAGGTGTGTTGTGTTAAGGTGTGTTCAGGGGTGTTGGGTTCAGGTGTGGTGTGTTCAGGGTGTTGTTGTTCAGGTGTGTTCAGGGGTGTTGGTTCAGGTGTGTTCTGTGTGTTCAGGTGTGTTAAGGTGTGTGTGTTGTGTGTTTTGTGTTGTGTTTAGGTGTGTTGTGTTCAGGTGTGTTCAGGTGTGTTCAGGTGTGTTGTGTTCAGGGGGTGTTCAGGGTGTTGGTTCAGGTGTGGTGTGTTCGGTGTGTTGTGTTCAGGTGTGTTCAGGCGTTTCAGGTGTGTTCAGGTGTGTTCAGGTGTGTGTTCATGTGTTTCAGGTGTGTTCAGGTGTGTTCATGTGTTTCAGGTGTGTTCAGGTGTGTTCATGTGTTCAGGTGTTCAGGTGTGTCAGGTGTGTTCTGGTGTGTTCAGGTGTGTTAAGGTGTGTTGTGTTTAGGTGTGTTGTGTTCAGGTGTGTTGTGTTCAGATGTGTTCAGGTGTGTTCAGGTGTGTTGTGTTCAGGTGTGTTCAGGTGTGTTGTGTTCAGGTGTGTTCAGGGTGTTCAGGTGTGTTGTGTTCAGGTGTGTTCAGGGGTGTTGTGTTCAGGTGTGGTGTGTTCAGGTGTGTTCAGGTGTGTTCAGGTGTGTTCAGGTGTGTTGTGTTCAGGTGTGTTCAGGTGTGTTTAGGGGTGTTCAGGTGTGTTGTGTTCAGGTGTGTTCAG